TACTCTATACTACCCCAGTTTATATAATACAAAAGACCTCAACACTGGAAGGAACTGATAGTTATGTATCAATCCTTAGCCATAATTTGGGAGAATGCAGGAGAGGCAAAAATGGTCACAAAATGAGCATTCGAAAAATAAAAGAATTTTTGCCCAGTTCGATCTTAAGAATTCTTGGTTTTAGACCCAGAAGAAACGAGAGAAAACACACTTTATCATCCACTTCGATTACTATTTTACTGCTTGAAGCAGCATTGCAGACTCCAACAATCTTTCTGCCAAAAATGTCGAAGAGGCTCCAGTCTAAAATAGTGCAAAACTAGACGAAAAAGTTGGCAAGGATCACAAGTACATTTAATAACTCACGAGATCCTTTATTCTTCAGAGAGATATCGATAACGTTGTACATCATAAGCTGGAGATGCCACTTGCATGCAGTACCCTGGAACAGCAACCTGAGTGAGTACTTCCGCCTAGAACAAAAAGACTTCTTACCTCACAGAATGGATGAAGCTGAAAGCCTATCGAATGGTAAACATTTTCGTACAACTTGATAGGATTGAAAAGCGTAACGAGGCCGTTCTAAATCACCTCGTTCAAACAAACACTGCCGGAAAAGTGCGAAAGACAAACCTGCTTGCAGGGAAGCAATTTTTTCCATGGTGTCAAATTTTCCGTACATACAGTTTCTCGTCCTATGGCGCCGTATCTCAGGTGCATTTCACGCCCTGTTTCAAGTCCTAGAGGTCTGAACGCGAACTTCGGTGACGATGTCAGATCCGGCACCACGCTGATCAGAGCTGTGCAGAACACCCCATTCAAAGCATTGATGAGTGTTCGCCACTTCTCGTCGACACTGAAGAAGTAGACTTCATCATGTACGGGTAAAAATAATCGTAATCTTTAATGAATAATTCCAGACTCGGGGTGAGCGACGCAGGTGTATGGGGCACCTACTTATGTTGAAAAGGCAAGTGACTTGCATGTACTCGTAAACGACTAG